TAATTTATAGATTCAATGCCATCCTCATCAAACTACCAATGACTTTCTTCACAGAATTGGATAAAACTACTTTAGAGTTCATATGGAACCAAAAAAGAGCCCGCATTGCCAAGACAATCCTAAGCAAAAAGAAGAAAGCTGGAGGCATCATGCTATCTGACTTCTAACTATACTACAAGGCTATAGTAACCAAAACAGCATGACACTGGCACCGAAACAGAGAGATAGACCAATGGAACAGAATAGAGCCCTCAGAAATAATACCACACATCTACAACCATCTGATCTTTGACAAACCTGACAAAAACAAGAAATGGGGAAATTATTCCCTCTTTAATAAATGATGCTGGGAAAACTGGCTAGCCATATGTAGAAAGCTGAAACTGGATCCCTTTCTTACACCTTATACAAAAATTAAATCAAGATGGAATAAAGACTTAAATGTTAGACCTAAGACCATAAAAACCCTAGAAGAAAACTTAGGCAATACCATTCAGGGCATAGGCATGGGCAAGGACTTCATGACTAAAACACCAAAAGCAATGGCAACAAAAGCCAAAATTGACAAATGGGATCTAATTAAACTAAACAGCTTCTGCACAGCAAAGGAAAACACTGTCGGAGTGAGCAGGCAACCTACAGAATGGGAGAAAATTTTTATTTTAAAAAATTAACCAAGCAAACCATCATAGACATATTTCTGGAAAAAGTGCCACTTTCTCAAGAAAAGCCTCAGGCAGGTCCTTCAGAAGTTATTCCAGAAAAAGGCATTATTATCATAAAAGATGACAACTCCATGCCTGTCATTGCCCCTGAAGACCTTCCAGTGGGACAAGTTGTGATGGTGGAAGACAGTAATATCAATGATCCTGACCCTGTGAAGGACTAGATTAATGTGAATTTTTGTGTCTTACTTTTTAACATAAAAGTTTCCAAAGTAAAAAAATAAAAATTAAAAAATTAAAAACAGAAAAAAGCTTATACAATAAGGTTATAATGAAATAATTTTTGTTGTTGTTCTTAATTCCCTGAGAATATTCATTTTGTTTGAAACTTATATAAAAGTTAATACATTTTTTAAAATTTAAAATTTTAATTTTATAAAGTAAAAAAGGTACATTGAGCTAAGATTAATTTACTATTGAAGAAAAATATCTTTTATAAATTCAGGGTAGCCTAAATATACCGTGCTTACAAAGTCTACAGTAATGTAATGTCCTAGGCCTTTACATTCACTCAGCAGTCACTCACTGATTTATCCAGAGCAATTTCCAGTTCTGTAAACTGTATTCATGGTAAGTATTCTATACAAGTGTGTGATTTTTTAAATTTTATATGCCATACTCTTACTATTCCTTTTCTATATTTAGATACGTCTACATACATCAACACCTGCCATTGTGTTATAATACAATTGCCTCCAGTATTCAGTACAGTAATAAGCTGAACAAGTTTGCAGTCTAGGAATAATAGACTATACCATATAGCCTAGGTTGGTATGCCTAAGCTATGCCATCTAGGTTTGCATAAGTACACTCTATGATGCCTGCACAACACTTCTTAAAATATATCCCCGGTTTGAGTTGACATATGAGTATATAAGGAGGTATACCAAAACTTTACCTTTTTATAAATCCAGTATTCTACTCTGGATGAATAACAGAACAGTACCTATTAGAAAAATGTATGCTGTGCTAACACATAATTGGAAACATAAGCTGAATTTTGATATGAAAAAATAGTCATGTGTCACTTAACAATGGTGATATGTTCATTGTGAGAAATGTATTGTTAGCGATTTTGTTGGTGTGCAAATATCATAGAGTACTTACACAAACTAGAGTATATTGTCATTGTACATGCTATCCAATCACTTGTAGCTCCTTACTGACCATATAAGCTGTGGATTTTGTGTGCTTAGAGGCCATCTTGAACAAAACAACACAAGATTCAATAAAGCACAAGAGAAAATAATGCAATTAGGAAGCTGCTGCTCCTGCATCATGATGTGTCGGGGCATATTGTTTTAAAGCAAACTTTTTTATGAATAGAAGGAGTACACTATGAAATAACAATAAAAATTATAGTATGGTATTGTAAATACATAAACCAGTAACATAGTCATTTATCATTATTATTATCAAATATTATGTACTGTATGTATAATAATTGTATGTGCTATACTTTTATACGACTGGCAGCACAGTGGATTTATTAACAGCAGCATCACCACAAACACATGAGTAATGTGTTGTATTATGACATTCTATCATTGGCCTATTATAGTCTTATGGATTGTATAAGGATAAACCACTTTTGTATATGCAATCTGTCATTAACTGAAACATCATTATGCAGCCAATGACTGTTAATACAAAATACTAGAGACTTCTTTTCAAATAATTATTGTAAAATTCAACTCTTTGTGTTATGTCTTGCATTTAGATAGAAACAAGTTTATGTTTTCTATTATTTTCTTATGTAGGATTTTCAACTTGGAAGATAGGTGACCGAATTAGAGGTTGGGGTTGATTAAAATATCATGTCCTTTGCCCAATTTTTAGTAGAATTATTTGTTTCTTGCTTATAAATTTGTTTAAGTTCATTATATATTCTGGATATTAGACTCTTGTCAGATGCATAGCTTGCAAGTATTAAAATTTCAATACCGTCATTAGAGAAATGCAAATAAAAACCACAATGAGATACTATCTCATACCAGTAAGAATGGCAATTATAAAAAGGCCAAAAATAATAGATGCTGATAAAGTTGTGAAGAAAAAGGAATGCTTATACACTGCTGGTATGAATGTAAATTAGTTCTGCCATTGTGGAAAGCAATGTGGCAATTTCCCAAAGAACTTCACACAGAATTACCATTTTACCAGTGATGTCATTATTGGGTATATATCCAAAGGAATGCAATTCATCCTGCCATAACAACACATGGACAGAGATGTGCATTGCAGCCCTATTCACAATAACAAAGGTATGAAATCAACCTAAATGCCCATCAACAGTAGACTGGAGGAAGAAAATATGGTACATATACACCATAAAATGCTACACAGCCATAAAAAGAATGAGATCATCTCCTTTGGAGCAACATGGATGGAGCTGGATGCCATTATCTTAAGCTAACTAACAAACCCAAGAACAGAAAACCAAACACATGTTCTCACAACTGGAAGCTAAATTGTGAGAACACATGGCCACAAAGAGAGGAGCAACAGACATCAGGGCGTACTTGAAGTTGGAGCGGGAGAGCAGGGTGAGGATGGAAAAACTACCTATTCATTACTATGCTTATTACCTGGGTGACAAAATAATCTGTACAGCAAACTCTCATGACATGCAGTTTACCTATATAACAAACCTGCACATGTACCCTGAACTTAAAATAAAAGGTATATATATATATGTGTGTGTGTGTGTGTGTGTGTGTGTGTGTGTATAATCAACAGGGAAGGACTACAATTAATGTTTATAGCTAGTAGAAACCTCCTGTATCAAGAGTCAACAACAGATTAATAAATTCATCACCAGCACTTTCAATAGCAGATATTCACAAAGTAGTCTCACGTTAGTTCGAAAACCCATGTTGTGCTATATGTGATACCCAAATAAAATATATTATACAATGTTAAAAATATGAAGTGTGCTTTTAAAAAATATTAAATTGGCCACACCCTTACTTCTCTATGTCTGCCAAATTGAAATAACAAAATAAATATAAAAATGGGAGTAAACTCTTTATAGTGCTGAAAACTGACTAGTATGCCAAATTGACACTTTCCCAGCTACATATTGCATTTCTAGACTACAGTTAACATCAGATTAACTGCTAGATGTTACAAGCAGTAAAATTTCAATCTAATATAAAAAAAGAATCCAGAAAAGAAAAAGAGTAAGAACCTGGGGTTTTCATAACAATCATTTTAAGAACTCAGAACAAGTGCAACTTGAGGAGCACAAATAAATTATCATCAATTTTAAAATGCGACCATTTCCACTATAATATCTTGCATGCATTCCTTTACAGTGTCCCTTTAGGCAAAATTAAGCACCTGGACTGAGTAGGCTTATGGAGAAAATATTGTAAGGTTAAACAACTCAAAAATATTCAACTTTGTAACCAGAGCTCTAACAAAAACAATTAGAATCTTAACACATCTTAGCACAGTTAAACCTCCACTACCTTTTCTATCCACTACCATACTCAGTCCTCTGTAGGATTAAATGCTGGGGCTCACCTTCCTCCTTTAAAACGTAGATCCTTGAGGATATGAACTCCAAAAAGAGGCCAGTTTCATCAAAGTTAGAATTCCAATATCTAGAAGTATCTTTCTAGCTTCTCCATTTGCACTTGCAGTATCCTAATGTACATTAATACTCTCCAAAGTATAATGATCCCTGATGGCATTACCTCATTCAAAACTGACTCCAAATGAAGGCACTTCTGTGGGATTTTTAGCATTTTTTAAGATTTAATTTATTGCTAAGTTCTTCTCTAGAATAGTGAAAACCTTCCCCTGATTATTTAAAGAGGTATTAAATTGGAATTAACCAATAGAACTTCTGAGTTATATTTACATTACTTCCCTGTTTATCAATCCTCCATGAATTAGTTTGTGATACAGAAACACATATCCTGTTACAGCAAAAATCTACATTTAAATTTAAAGTTTTAACAGTACTTCCTAACCTAGAATTTTTATTATACCTTCACTGATCTATTTTCTGAAAAAAAAAGAAAGCAAGAGAAGCATAAACAGGTAATATGTATCTATACACACCTCCCCTCCCTACAAACATACCTTACAAGCATGTTCAAAGTGGCTTTGAATGTTATTTTACTTTATTTCCTAGTTGTATAATTTTTAACATGATATTTCTAGACAGCAGAATATTAAGAAGAGATGTAAATAATCTAAAATTATTAAACTTTAATTCTCCCAGTAACCCCTAAAAATTCTACATACATTAAAAACTTTATCAGAAATGTTTCATAATAGAGCACTTTATTATGAAAATGCAGATCACCATAAATACATTTTTGCTACTTATGTCAACATCATTTGTGATTTTCCTCTTCTGAAAGTTGGGCACAGAAACAAATGTTGGAGAATCTTTAAAAGAGAAACTCATTTTCACACTCTGATCCTCAAACGATCTGCATCCTGCTGGTTCAAACAGAGAAGTGTCAAGCAATCAAGCAGGGTTTTACATGAAGACTAGTTTATAGACTTTTAAAATGCATGTTGAAATAAAATTTATAGCAGGAAATAAAAAAGTAGAGTAGGATATGAATATTCCCTGCTTCACATTTTCTTCTGCTAGCCACGACCCTGAATTGCCCACCCATCTACATAGGGACACTGACTAATGTTAATAACAGGAGAAATTTTGTCAGCTATTATCACTTCTCCCAAGAGAACAAAGAAACATTGTAGAGAACTTTGTTTCACAACAATCTGATTTGTATACAATATTTGGAAAATATAATTTCAATTGATATAAAAATTATTTTAAAAATCTCTATACAAATGCATTTTAGCTTAAAAAATCTATAAATAGCTGACACATTTTCTACATTTAAATATTTCTTCACATTAAATAATTATGATTAATTATAAAACAAAGTGTAAAAGTAAGCACAAAAGTGGGTTTCAACTCAGATTATCAGTTAGTCTTTATCAACAAAATTCAAGTGAAGGTAAAAAAGCAAATGTAAAAAGGTAAAAACAAATTAAGTAGAAGTATATTGAATTTTATGTTTACTAAGATTAAAAAAGCATGAAAATATTTATTGTAAACTAGTCAATTAACCAAAGAAATTTTCTGAGGAAACTGCTATATGTCAAATCATAGATAAATAAAATGTTAATTTTCAAAAGGTTTAAAATAGTCCTTTTTGGAAAATAAATACAACTTTAATTTCAACTATAATCATATGAACTTAAGTGGCAAATATACTTTTATTTAGAAAAATGGAGAAATAAATATCTACAGCCCAAATCAAAAGTACTAAGAATAAAAAGGGAACCTAATTAATTCTAAATAGCAAAAGTCAACAACTAATGGGATATCACTTCACTCAAAATTAACCTAGGTGTATTTTCCTATTTTCACTCAATCTCTTTCAATCAAAGTATTATCTTTTATTGAAAGTATTAAATTTGTATTGTATATTTTTAAAAATTTTAAACACAAAGGCTATATTATTATATTTGCACTCAAAATATAATAAAATATATAGAATTATATGAAGTACATTTGTTTGTTAAACATGTAATTACATTACTATTATTTTAAATTTTATTAATATTAATAAAATATTACATTGATAGATTGACAATGTGTAATTCTTACACGATGATGATCCAGTTACAAGTCAGTTTCTTTCTTTCTTAACTTTTGGATTCTTCACAGTTATATTTGGGATGTCAGTGCTCTCATTTACCTGACGTTTGTACATAAAAAATGCAGTAGTAGTGAAGATGATAGTGCATAGTTTGCAGAGAAAAGCTAAATTAAAAAAATGCAATGATCAGATATGTCCATGTATTTAGAACAAAAATGTAAGCAAAAATGCTATTTACCAAAGAAAGGTTAAATATATTTCACCTATAAAGGTATAAATCCCCAAACTGTAGAATGTAATTAATGCCATAAAATTATATTGTTACTTAAAGGAGATTTTTAAATGTTTATAACATATTTTAGATTTCTTAGACATATTTCTTAAACCCCCTTCCCAAATGCAAGGTGCGCTATTACCACATAGAACGTGTTAATTCTGAAACATAAAATGTAAATTCTGACTTTCAAAACTTAACTATCAATAGGAACTAAAGCTAAGTCATTTCATGCAGCTTTGCTCTTTTTGAAATATTCATCATTTCTGAAATACAACAAATATTACAGAAAAGTTAATTATGTAGGTTTTTAAATCATTTTCATGTTTCAAGTTGCAGAAGGTTTATACATTACAACATTCCAAGCATTATATAAACATACTTGAATATTGGATGCAATATTTACTTTTTTCAATTTTTTTTTTAATTAATTCTTTTTTTTTTCTTTTGAAACAGGGTCTTACTCTGTCACCCAGACTGGAGTGCAGTGGTGCGATCTTGGCTTACAGCAGCCTTGACCTCCCCGGCTCAAGCAATCCTCCCACTTCAGCATGTGCCACCACACCTTTCTAATTTTTATAGGTTTTGTAGAGACGGGGTTTTGCCATGTTGCCCAGGGTGCTCTCTCAAACTCCTGAGCTCAGGCAATCTGCCTGTCTTCGAGTCCCAAAGTGCTGGGATTACAGACATGAGCCACCACCACGCTTGGCCTTTTTATCTTTTTCCTGAAACAAGACCTCCTTTTATTGTTCAGGCAGGGGTGCCACTATCATAGCTTACTGCAGCCTGAACTGCTGGGCTCAGGGGATTCTCTGGCCTCAGCCTCCTGAGTAGCTGAGACTACAGGGGGTGATACCACACCTGGCTAATTTTTCATTTTGTAGAAATGGGATCTTGCTAGGTTGCCCAGGCTGATCTTGAACTCCTGGCCTCAAGTGATCATCTCGCTTTGGCCTCCTTAAGTGTAAAATATTTTACAGCCACAATGTCAATTATCTGACATAATGGTTTCAAGATAAAAAGGAAACATTAATGATTCTATGCCATTTTTAATGAAACAATAACATTTTACACATTTTAAGGGGAAAAATACCATTTTTTAATGATAGTTATATCTGACATAGTTGTAACATTAAGCAATTGTAACATAGTAAATAACACAGTAAATAATTATTGTAAATTATTCTCTTGAGTGTATAGCTTGTGAAGAAAAATTGGGCAATTTTGAACAACCACCACAACCCAGTAATGCTTCCAAGAAAAAGGGAATTGTTGCAGCAGGCAAATTATCTGAAAATGATAGGAAAAGCTAGATTAAAATCTTCCTTTTAAAGACTTGATAGAGCTGATGAAGAAATGAAAAAGAAATAGATTAATATCCAAGACAGGGCAGAACTTAACTGGAGGTGATCCGACTTTTGCAACAGTTTTTTTCTCTGTGGTTATTTTCTATATTGGATGGGGGCAAGGGGCTAAGATACAAACCTTTACTCTGGCAAAAAAATGCTGCTGAAGAACAAAGATTCATTTGGTCTAACAGGGCTGATGCGACAAAGTTGAAGACAGCAAAGGTTTCAAACAAATAGCAAGATATATGCTGGATATCAAAAGCCAAGAAGGTCAGAACACTCAGTTATGTAGCCTAGTTGTGAAGCACAGGTGGGTCTACACAATTTTGCCATTGTTCACATCTAAAGCACTACTATAAGACAAAGTTCTAATCACTTCCCCCTCGAAATTTTGAAGCCAGTGGGGAACCAAATCAAACTAAGGCTGCAAACTAGTCACCAGTTGAGTCAGAAATTTAATAACTTACCCTCCACTTAGGTAGAATAACAGAAAGAAATTGTCCCTCTCTGAAGGTAAATATTTATTTCAGTCTGTATCATTCTATTACACAAAAGGCCTGGAATGCAATCATATGTTGCAAAACATATGAAAAAGCAAGGAAATACTATTTCCCATTAAAAGTGGAAGCAGTCAATAAAAAACATACTCAGAGAGGTTCTAGCACTTGGAATCAACAGGTGGAAACTTTAAAATAATAATAATTATGGTGAAACATATTTCTGTTTATTTATCTACTGGAAAAGGTTGATAGGGTGCATGAAGAAATGAGAAATGTTCAGTATAGAACTAGAAACTACAAAATGAAGTTTGTAAAATAACTAGAAATAAAAAAGGAAAGATAACAGAGCATCCAAGATACATGAAGTAATATCAAGTGATCGGACATATATTAAATGGAGCCCCAGAAGGAGAGAGTAGGAAAAATGAGATAAATATTTTGAATAGTGATGTCCAAATACTTTCCAAAAACGTAGAAGACATCAACCCATGGATCCAAGGAGCTCAGCATACACAAAAGAGGGGAAAAAAAAAGCAGCGATACACAGAAAACCATACTTAGGCTCATTGTAGTCAATTTAACAAGAGTCAAACATAATCAAAGAGAAAATCTTGAATAAAATCCAAATAAAAAGACATATTACAAGTTGGAAAGCAATATCACAAATGATAACTAACTTCTCACCAGAAACAATGGAGACCAGAAAGTGATGTAATATCTTTAAAGTTCCGAGAGTTACAGGATTCCATATTAAGCAAAAATATCTTTCAAAAAGTAAACATAGCCAAAATACAGTCTCAATAAAAAAAAGGTAAAATAATTCATCTCCTGTATAAAAGAAATGCTAAAAAAGATGTTCTTCAGGTACCTATACTAGATAGAATATTGCAGATCTGCAGAAATGGCACATATTTAGATGAACCTGAAAGAATACATGTACACATACACATACACACACACACCATATTAATATTAAAGACGAGGTAGATTTTAAGAAAAATATCACTAATGGAGGGGGAGAAATGGGCATTAAGTAATAATAAAAATAACAATTCATCAAACAGACATAAAAATCCTATGTGTGTGCGCCAAACAATAGGGCTTCAAAAAAACTAAAGAAAAAAATGGGAAAATTAAAAATAGAAATGGATGTATTAACCAAATTGCAAATTTTAGCGTCCCTCAAGTCAGTAATAGAACACAAATACAAAGATACAATCTGAACATGATCTGAATAATACAAAGTGAGCTAACTGATATTATCAAAAACAATACCAAATAACTGCCAAATATGCATTTCTAGGTGTATATGAATAATTCATGAGACAGAGCATCTGATGGGTCATAAGAGACGTTTCAACGAATTTCAACTTCTGTGACCCACCAATTCCACTTTTGGGGATTTTTACCCAATAAAAACAAAAACATATGACTATGAAAACATTTGTATAAAAATGTGAGCTGGGCACAGTGGCTAGCACCTGTACTTCTAAAACACTGGGAAGTGAGGCAGGAGGATCGCTTGAGGCCAGGGGTTCAAGATCAGCCTGGGCAACACAGTGAGACTTCCTCTATATTAAAAGTAAATAAATTAGCCGGGCATGGTGGCATGGACCTGTAATTCTAGCTGCTCTGGAGACTGAGGTGGGAGGATTCCTTGAGCACATTAGTTCGAGGTTACAATGACCCATGACACTGCACTCCAGCCTGGGTGACAGAGCAAGACATTGTCTCAAAAAAATATATACACAGAAGCCTCATTTATAATAACCAAACACTGTAAACAATCCAAGTATTAATTAATAAGAGAAAGGATAAACTATAGCATATTCACAAATTGAAATAGTGCTTAGTACCCAGCAATTTCTATAAAGCACAAGCTAATGCTGTAGAAAGAACATTAACGAATCTTCCAAGAGCATAAAATTAAGCAAGATAGACACGAAAAAGGGTCCAGTCTTCTACTTATGTAAATTTCTACACCAAATAAAACTAAAACATTTTTTAAAAATCTGAAAGGAGTCTATCTGAAAAGGAGGGAAAATGACTAGAAAAGGTCATGGAAAAAATTTCCATATTTTGTTTTGGGTGTTGTTTCCACAAGGGTATTCAATTATCAAAAGCCATCAAGTTGAACTTCTAAAATCTATGTTAATTGCATTAATTATACCTCAGATTTTTTAAATAAAAAGAGTATTGTTTGATATATATACCTATAGATATAGACATAGATATAGATATATATAGATAGATAGATATAGATATAGAAACAATCTCACTCTGTCACCCAGGCTGGAGTGCAGGGGCATAATGTCAGCTCACTGCAACCTCCACCTCCCAGGCTCAAGTGAGTCTCTTACCTCAGCTTTCTGAGTAGCTAGGACTATAGGCATGAGCCACCACTTCCAGCTAATTTCTGCATAGTTTTTTACAGACAGGGTTTTGCCATATTGCCCAGGCTGGTCTTAAACTCGTGAGCTCAAGTTATCTGCCCACCTTGGGCTTCCCAAAGTGCTGGGATTACAGGCATGAGCCACCTTAATATATTTTTTACAAACCAAACAGTGTGACCATCACCTGAATCATGAATGAAATATCATTAGCACCCTAGCAACCATACTCATGATTCCTCAAGGTCACTAACTGATAAAAGTTAGTTTTGTTTGCCCTTGAATATATTTATATAGCAAGCCAAAATTATGTAAGTGGAATTATACAGTGCCTACATACTCATTTGTGTCTGGTTTCTTTCATTCAGAATAATGTTTGTGTGATTCATCCATATTTTATGTAGTTGAGCGCTTTTCATTTTCATCGTTGTATAGAATGCCATTGTTGAATTTACCACAATATATTATCCATTCTATTGTTGTTTTTGTTCGTTTGTTTGTTTGTAGTTTTTTGGAGATGGAGTTTTGTGCTTGTCACCCAGGCCAGAGTGCAGTGGCATGACCTTGGCTCACTGCAACCTCTGCCTCCAGGTTCAAGTGATCCTCCTGTCTCAGCCTCCTGAGTAGCTGGGGTTACAGGTGCCCGCCACC